GCGGAAGAAGTAGGAAATCAATTTCCATTTGCAAATAATTTGATTATTTTTTTATTAAAAACTGTGTCAAGTTCCTTCCTACTTTTCGGCAGAATTTCTTCTGTCATCAAATTCTTGGGTAACTAGATCACAAATCAATAAAAATCACCCGATATTAAAAACACAACCCGTTTTTTATTTCAACCATCTGGGGCTGTTTTTGACTGTTTGAAAAGTTCTTTGAACTCGCAAGTTATTTGATAAATTATGGCCGATGAAGATGTTCAACTGTCGTCCACTTCACCGGAAGTTGCAGCAGCAGCCAAGCGGCTGTGGAAAATCTATTGCCGTTTAAATCAAGAGCAGTTTACGACGCCACTTATCAAAAGTTTTTAAAATATTGCGAGGAAAAAGCATCCGTGTGGAGCTACCACTTAATGTTGAGATCACTGCTTCCTATTACACAGAAAGTGGACAAAATATTTTGAAACATATCAAGTTAATCCTAGTAAACGATTATTGGCTCCAACTACACAGAAAGTGGTTTTTTCTAAATTATGTTAACGGAAAGTGCACTGGGAATTGGGAATGTGTTGGACATCCAAGACGTTGCAAGTGGCATCGTGTTTCAAATTTCCCAGTTGAAAAGAATCACATTTTAAAGAGACAGTGTTTCCATATCCGTGCGATCAAAATCACCAGCAATAGTTTAATACCAACCAGCTCCACAGTCACGAATGAAATCAATACTGAACGTAACATAAGCGATCACAGTGATACCATCAGCAGCCACCAACTTTTGTTTAGAAATGCACAGTTCATCCAAACGAATTCCGACTAAAATTCAAGAGCTGGTGGACGCTGCTTTTCTCAAAACAGCACGACTGGACTGTTAATTTTACTTGCAATAAACAATAATAATAGGTAGTAAAAATTATTAAACTATTACATGACACCGCGGAGTAATCCATAAACGTGCAGGCATTGGGCTGTGAACGTCAAGGCCGGAAATTTACGTTGACGATTATTGTTATGAAAATTTGCTTTAAAGCTTACCGTCACCCTTGCAATAGATTTATTAGTATGGAGAAACCAAAGATCGCCTATAAACCATGAAATCACTAAGTAAGTGAAACAGTAAAAGCACGCCTGTGCTATTTGTATTTTTATTTAAAACATGAAGTGATAACGCCTACCGAGTGAGTAATGCGAAAGACCTCCCTTAGTTACGTTGACTAATGAGCTGGCGGTCCAAGATTTACTCGTATGGGTCGCTCAAAATTGGTGTCAGAGACAAGTCGCTTACAACTTAGTTTTAGGAATGATTTGTTTGATAACACTGACATTTCTCCAAAACTTTTATGAAATCATGGACAAAGTAAAAAAGGATATTACACTCGTTTAATAAAACATATTGTGGCACCCGTTGTTAAACTATTTTTCTATGGCTTCCAAAAAAGTGTGAATTGTACTCCCAACCATGTTTAGGAAAATACGGTATTACCAAACAGAAAATTTGTTTAACTAATAATGAAGACAAAACAATAAATGAGTTTTTTTCGTCTGCTAAAAATCAAATAAATGGTTGAGTATTAAACAGGGTGCTGAAAAAATGGCGTACCAACTCTATGACACGTTGTTGAGGACTGTTTATTGAACAAAATTTAACTTTTATTTTCAATATTTCACCATATTCTAATTCACCATTTAGTGTTGGTTACACGAAATCAATTAGACTTCCATTATTCAAAATAATTTTGGAGGTATCTTGTTTTCATCCAGTTTTCTTCATATTATAACACAACTTTTTTGATTTATCTGTCTAAATCGATATTTTGTCCCTGTAAGTGAAGGTCAAATTGACGTAAGGGATTTTCTTATGATTTTTCCCGAACTTAGACTTGCGAACTTATAATGTACCGTTAAGTTGGTGCGCCATTTTTTCAGCACCCTGTATATCACTGTAATTGTAATTTAATGGTCTATCAAAAATTTAAAGAAATATACGTTTAAATCCGATGGCATGAGCTTCTCCCTTCGAGTTAAAAGCAATGGCGTTTACAGAATTTTAATACTTCTTTCCGTTTTCAAGATATAAGGCCGCGGAGTTTAATCTGGGACACCTGGTCATAGTAGTTCAGCTCAAATGTCGACTGCCTTTCAAATAAATAAATACTAGAAAACGAGTTGCCAAAACAGGAAAATTTATACAAGGTGATAAAAAATGACGTATATTCTCGATGATATTTGTTAAGAAGGCTCCGCAAATGGTTAAAAAACCTGCACCAAATTTTGGAAAATATTAAACTCCAAAGTTGAAAAATTAACTTCTAATTCTGATTGTTTTTAATGAACTGCATTGTTTAAGAGACAGTTAAACAATTAGTTTTTAGTAATTTAATAATAATTTGCTAGAATACGATCCACAACTTCATTTTGTGCTATCGACAGATGTCATTTTTGGCAATTTTTATCGGAATTTTAAGTTTTCAATTAAATTCACATTAAAACATCAGAATTACGAAGTTAATTCTTCAATTTTGAAGTTTAATATTTTAAAAAATGTGTTTTTCAGTGCCTTTTGAACAACGTACCATCGAGCATATATGTAATTTTTTCATCACTCTGTATACCAAAAACGCGGGGTTTCCCATTTACAAAAATTAAAGTGGTGGCGAATTCTTAAAATAAGAATATTTTAAATATTAATTTAATCGTTTCCTTATAGAAATATTCCCATCAAATGTTTTGACTGGGCTGTCCTAGTTTTAGTGAGTATATTAAGAGAAGATAAAAACTTATATACAGGGTCACTCACTAAGTGGGCGTGGTGCTCGGTACTTCATTAATTATTATAGATAGAAAAAAGTCGAAGACCAAAAGTTGTACGGTTCTTTGAAGACCATACTCTAAAATACATTTTTAAGTATACAGAGTGTTCTTTCTTTAAAGTGTAACACAACTTAGTTTTTTTAAACGAAACAGCCTATATATTTTTACATATTTTAATAGATTTCTTCTTAGGTTTTACAACCACAGTTTACTTTTGAAATTCCGGTGCGACGTTGCCACATTATTATAATTTTTTTGATAATATGTGTTGACAAAAAAATCTCAGTAGGGTTATTTTTGAAGTCTGTCTTACAATGTTTTGTGGAAGAATAAATAAAAGTGCACGCTTTGATGTGGTAGTAACTAAATAAAATATTATACATAGTGTTTATAAAAACTCGAAAACTTAACAAATTTCAAACATCGATATGCATTTTATTACTGTATCTTACTCCATTTTTTCCTCATTCTTTTAATGTGTCGGTGAATCTCTTAAAAAAGTAAAACGTCGTAGTAACTATGAACTTTAAATATAGAAAATACTAACAAAAAAAGAGAACAAAAACTAGGATAAATTGCTGTTCTATTTGAAAAAACTGAATCGGTATTTAAAAACTAATCGTTAAAACATTTTTCACAAACACTCTGTATATAGTTATTTATACCACAACAAAAATATAATACATATTTTTAAAATAACTCTGTGGTTTTTTGTGAACCGTTGAAATTGGAATAACGTGGCAACGTAGTATCATAAAATAAACCGTAGTTGTAAAATCTAAGAAGAGAGCAATTAAAATATGTAAATATGTTTCATAAAAAAAATAAGTTGTGTGTTATGCCTTAAAAACAGAACACTCTGTATAGTTAAAAATAATTCTGGGGTGCAGTCCTCAAAGAACCGTACAACTTTGGTCTGTCATTTTATTTTCCACTTCTAATAATTGTGTTATCGAAGAACATGTACTTTTAGTGACTCACCCCGTACATATAATACCTCCACGTGATTAAGAAAAAAATTTGTTTGGCAACCTTTAAAATTTAATATTAAAAACATTATGTTGGCAGCACTAAAGCGTTCTCTATTCGTGTCAATTAATTTGTTATTTACGATTATTTTTTGACAAAACTGTCAAATGAAGTATCAAATAACTGCAATATCGATATCATTGTTTTAAAATTACATTTCATGGCTAACCAGACAACTTTTTTCGATCATTACCCCTCAAAAAAATTAATAAATCAATAAAAATCTGAGAAAACACTTGAATTGAAGTATTCCGTATGTAGTATGTACATACAGTTGCCGTCAAAAAATTTTAGACGTCAATGTCATTCAGCCGTCAGATAGTGTAAAGCAACCTTTAGATGTTTCTAACCTAAATATTTGACAGTCATTTTTAACTTTTACATTTGACACTTACATGAATGTAGCTGTAGCGTAAGCTGGAATTTTGAAAGTTTGACATTCCAGCTGTCCGAAATAATGACAATAAAGCATAGACTACATTAAAATTTTTGACATGACAGAAAAGTGATGTTTGAAATTTTTTGTCGGAAACTGTAGATTCATAATCATGTGTTTTCCGGAACGACGGTACTGGAATTAGATTTTTTTAGTAGTGTGTAGAAATATAGATGCTACAGAAATTTAGACATTGTAACTCGATTTTGCTTGTAAATTATCCTTAAAATTAAAGCAAAGATAAATGTCCTATGTACTATGTGTAATGTATTTTTTTGTTCAAAAGTAACGTGTTAATAAATTATGCTGCATGATCTAAGACGATAACGTTTTTTAAACTCTAAAGTTATTATAGCATCCATAAAATTTATTATTAAAACCATATGAAAATATTTTCAGATTACGTCATCATTTTTTGGAAAGTATAAACCGACAAATTTAGTCAATAAAAAAATTGATATGATAAAAAAAATTATGACACCGCAAATTTAACCTACAAGTTTTAGCAACTGTAGACGCTGTCTGGAGCGTCTCAGGAGCGCAGAATTCAAGGACAACTGGGATGGAGTATCAGCGCCAATGGTGCTGAACTCCAAGTTTACGGACCTTTCTTTCCATGACCATACCTGGTCTGAAAAACACACCAACATCAAAACTATATGTCGTTCCAACGACTCAGCTACTTTCGGACATAAAAGTGGAAAACTCGGCTACAAGCACTCACCTTTTCCTGATGTAAATCCACGTATGCGAATCAACCCACACTAGTGCTGTCAGTAGCAGCCCCGCCAGAATCGCGGACACCAACATCATCGTCAGCCCCAGCAGCCCCACGTTGCACAGCGCCCTCGAGCCCCTCAAGTAGTGCGCGTGCAACGCCCTGCAGTCCACCGCCGTCGTCAAAATGGTAACTGAAGTATCCGCCAAGTTGACTTCGTTCTTCAACGAGCTGAACTTAGTATCCAGCTGCTTCTTCGGGAAGAGGAAGATGGCCGGCTGCTTCAGGCTGTTCAGATTCGCCCTCATGTTCTCGATGGTCGTCTTCGCCTCGCGCAACCTCTGCGTGAACGGGTTGGCCCTGGCCCTTTCGCAGCTCGTGTAGTATCTCAAAATCTCTTTGGATAATTCCGTAGACGCTTGGTCCTCAATGAACTTATCTGGTGCTATACACAAATCTCCTAAAGCTACGCTAGAGGCGAGATATACGCTCGCCATTAAATATGAAGCTATGACAGCCAAGAGGCCGCACACTGAGAACGCTATCAGAGCGCATCTGCTGTGCCGGGCCACGCCGACCTGGGGGACGAAAAAAATTGAGGTAAGTGCCCGCTTTCCTGATGAAGAAGTTTAGTGTGCTAATAAAGCGAAGTGTGCAGACGGGTTTAGAATTTAGAACGAGGACGGGCCTTTCGGCCTACGGACGCTGGAATACGAAGTGTGTTTTTGTATCGAGCCGGGTTCGCTGAAAAATACATTATGAAACAGCTGTTTCGGAGCTGAAGGGTTCAACGGCCCCTTTAGCTTTGTTTTGTTGCTGTGTTCCCTTCGTGAACTGTAAAAGGCAATCGTTATCTTTTACGACGTTGTTGTTTTTGTTGGTAACATAGGGTAAATTTTGTTTTAAAAATCACTCATATAGCACTTACTACAGCGAAATTTGTGCGCTGGAAATGAGAAGAGTTTTACAATTTCGCCAACATTAAATAGTTGTTGGGGGAAAACTATTATATATATATAATAAGATTTAGTGATATAGGTAGTAACATTTTTGGTAACACCATAGGTTAAAGAACGTGTATTGTGTGTTGTCTACTTTGGTATAACATGGGTCCGATAGCTTAGCAATTTACACTTTACATGTATTATGGAAATTGGTGCAACCATTAACTTGTGGAAGTAGATAACGTAGTTGAAGTACAATTAAAGCTTAACAAGGTGCAATAATGAAGTAACCTTGTACGGATACAATGTAGGCAATATATTTTCCTGGACTTTATTTATTTCACTGCTATTGTAACAAAGATCAATACAAAACTAGTTTTACTGAACATTGTGGAAAAAAGTGTAAGTACAGCTTAACGAACGAAGAATCATGTGGTTTCGACAAGATCGTGCTACGCCACAGAACCAGAAAAAAAGCAAATTTATTAGTCTGGTTATATAAATAAAAGCAATCAATACATTTTTTTCTAAATTATAAATTGTATAACAGAGAGCGTATGTCACATCTAGTGATTATATTTTTGCATAAAGTGCGTCATTAATTTTAACACGAAAGAGTAAATCTATTTCAGTTAATTTCCATTACTTCTTAATACAAGATATTTCGTAATTTAATTTATTATGAATGTTAATTTCTGGTGACATGGATGGTAGGCAACTTCAGTCATAACGAGAGAATATTAATTTACAAGTAAAGCAGCATTTAAAATTATGCAATTAAAACAAGCTTCATCCCATAACTTCCTGAAATGTCGTTATCGACTTTCATGGCGATGAATTATTAATATTAATGCGCACGCTATAGTAAAACCTCTTCCCAGAAAAATTAGACACACCAGGTGCATGCAGTTCTAAAAAGTACAAAATTATTACCGAAGCACAACTAATATCGCGTTGGATCGTATTTTTTAAAAACATTTAGTGAATTAAAACCAATAACGAAAAAATAAAATTTAATCAAAATAACGTGTAAAATTTGATAAGCAAAAATAATTGACTATTTGAGCCCATTTTCTTCGCGAAGTCAGTTATAGCTGCGACATGTTGAAGTAATTTATTGACTAGCTTGATTCTGAAGAATTGCCCAATGGATATTTTCAGCATGACGGCGCAACAGCTCATGCAGCTCAAACAAGTTTGAACTTTCTAGGGGAATTTTATGACGACCGTTTAATTAGCTCCTAAGCAGATCATATCTACCCTCCTCGATCATGTGATTTAATACCTTTAACGAAACGACAATTTAATTCTTGTTGACATAACATAAACATAACCTAGCTTGCTAAGTTCGGCCACAGACAGGTTATGTTGTCACAATAACTTTAAAACAAAGTGAATTACGTGTTAAGTTCATTAAAATTGTATAATTTTTTAAAATCAAAAACTGTGTCACCTCAACACCAAATTTGAATAGTGCCGTTTCTAGGATACTTTGACCTTATTTGACCTGTCTTAGAACCGGCATTACTTTCTGTCGGCAGTTCATTGACCTGATTTAGAACTGGCATCATTTTCTGGCGACCCTTTTTGACCTCTTTTAGAACCGGAATTATTTCCTGCTGATAACATGATGGGGGTACTAAGACAGGTCAAAGGGTCGGCAAAAATTCATGATGGTTCTAAAACAAATCAAAATGGTCGATAGAAAAGAATGTTGTTCTAAGACAGCTCAAACTGATCGACAAAAAATAATGCCAGTTCTAAGAAAGGTCTAAATGATCGACAAAAAATGATGGGGCGCCTACGACATCTCAAAATGCTCTACAGAAAATGGTGCCGGTTCTCAGAAGGTCAATGACCTGTCGCCAGAAAGTAATGCCGTTTTTCAGACAGGTCAGATGAAGTCAAAAGGGAAATATATACATAAATTTTCAATACGCGACAAAACGTGAACAGACAGAAGAAACAACAAATTATCAAAAAAAAAAATGCAAACTATTAAAGAAAATGCTCCTCTCTAATTCTTGAACAGGGTAAAATATTAGTGCCTGAAATATGAATTTTAAATTATGTGTAAATATTTGAAAGTAACTAAAAAAACAAAATAGAAGTACATAAGTATATCATAACTTTTTTTTGTTTTCTGTTGCCATATATTTCTAACTGCCTGTTACCAAAAATTGTTGACAGTTTCTAATATGAAAGTAAGGAAAATATCTTGTACGCGTCCATCAAACAACTTCAGTTTCTTAGATAGACTATAAAATTTGACTCCGGGAAGTTTTTTTTTTGTCATGAAAACCCCTATAAACAAAAATAAAAACTTGGGCTAGATTATTGAACTACAGCTAAAAGAACATGCGTGAAATTCCTTAATAAAATTTTGTGATGGCGTAATAAATTTTTTAGTGGGGACAAATTCACTAACTGGATATATTCGGTGAAGTAGTAGCAATAGGGAACAAGATCACTTTTTCATTTAATCCCTCAATATGTAAATTGTTAATAAACATTCCGAAACATGAATTATTGTTACAAATTATATAAATTAAAAACCAATAAAATATGATAACGACAAAACTGCAAAATTTTGGAAAAATAAGAACATATGTAATCGTTTTAAAATAATTTTCTTTGATAAAAATTAGTTTTAATAACGAATTCTATCAAACTTTTTTTTATACTTATTAAATAACTATTCGAACACTTTAAAAAACTGACCGGTTATTAAATGCTTCTTAAATCGATGCCCCTTTTTGCTATTTTTCTTGACAACTGCTTATGTATCAATTCTGACGATTTCTGTTGCATAATTAAATCTAATCAACGTCGAAATGTCAAATTAAAATCCTTTCCTGTATAAGAAAAAAGTGATCCAAACCAGTACTGTAATTAATACGGTTCGTTGATTGTGCAAATTAGTTGTTTCTTCTGCCATCAAAACATTTTTACATGCTCACTGAATAAATGAAATTCTAATTAAATATTCCTATAATCATTTTTTAACCCCATTCCAACAATAAAATTCATCAAAAACCCAAACAAAAATACAACGTCAAGAATTATAACGACTTCCAAGAAAGATATTTTTAATTATTCCAGATCGTTTCGTCGTAACTGATGGCGGTTCCGTGACAAAAAAGAGCCTTGAAGACGGATAAGTATAACGTGTCTATGTCAAATTTAGGAAAAACGAACAAAAAAAAAAACGAAAATAACGCTCCACGAAACTGAACAAAATCACTGATATTCTGAACTGAACAAAATCACTGATATTCTGAACACTGATTTATGTTATACTGGATCGATAAACTCCATAAATTGACATTAAAATAATTACACATTTATTTCATTTTGTGGAAAAATTGAAACGTTTACGTTATTTATTATACATAATAACCTGTCAATTTTTTAGTTCGAACCACGAACTTTACACGTACTAAATAATTCAGCAGATTTATTTAATTATTTTGTCCATTGACACCGAAATCGGAAAATTTTCATTGATCCGCCGAAAGGTTGATTTTATGTTTTCTCGAAAAAATGTGTGGTTTATGAATCCTTCAGATTCCTTAAAAAAAAATATTCTGCAATGTTCACAAGTTAACTTAAAAAATCTATAATCGAATGCTCTAAAATCTTCCAAACGTTTTAAGGTTATCGTCCCAAAAACTTGACGTCATCTCCAAATTTTGCTAGATAAATCTTATCTAAAAGTAAACTATTGTGGGTCTGTCACCATATTTTGTTACGAAACACTCACTTGAAAGAAGATTGACTTAAAAACGAGTGTCGTTTAATTCTGAAAAAATGGATATTTAGCGATTTCTGTGAAAAAATTAATGTGACCTATTGTGCGTTCCGGTTTGACTTGGCAACGTGCAAAACTCATAAGCAACGGGAGAATTATCGGCGGTGTTAATTACCCAAAAACCTTCCGATTTCAGAAGAAGCTGATACATGAATCTTTCACAAATTATCATTCCGCTTTTATTTTTGTTGAAATTTGATTTTTGTATATTAAAAGTTCACAGAAAATGAAATTATTTTTTGAATTTTCATAATTATAAAATTGCGTTTTTTGGTTCTTTATCACGTCATACTTCAAAAACTATTCAAAATTTTCACTTAGTTTTTTAACTGTAATATAACCAAACACTACTGCTTCCAGTGATGTAACTTTAACTGTACTAGTGTTTTTAAATTTCCATAAAAAAAATCTTTGTTTGTTACTTGTACAAAATATGTATTGAAATTTTTAATATTCAACAAAGTTGTATAGTATCGTTTGAAATAATTTTGATAATTATTTTATTGATTATCTTCATTCTTTAAAAATAATTTCCATGTATTAACTATATACCACTTCTCGCAGATCAATTGCAAAATTCTCAGTAATAAAAAATCTCTTCTGCTGAAAATTTCAATGTAAGTAACAAATATATCTCTTTTTAATTTAAAGACATGAATGCAATTACATTACCAGTTTCATTGTTAGAATCAGTACTGTTTATGGGAGCTATCGTTAAAAAACTAAGGCAGAATTTTAAGTACAGTTTAAAATATGTTGTGATAAATTCAGAAAAACGAAATTTTAAAAAAGTGAATATTATGGATAAAATCAACATCGTAAG